TCACGAACAAACAATCATGGGCGGATGATTAAATTCCTAATCTCCTTCAAATGACGCTTGTTACTGCGTCACAAACATAAATCAAAAAACAATTTGAGAAGAACAGAGTTAACTGTTCTTTACTGCATGCACTGTTTTCCAACATGTTTCAAAAGAGGAAATTTCAGTGCATGATATACATATTTGTTATTTCTTTTAGATGTCGACGAATATACAAGTACTGCCTCTTCTCCCCTCTGTGATGTCAATGGTCCATGTTCGAACATTCGTGGGTCTTATCTCTATAGCTGCAGATTCAAATTTGATTATTCTGGCAACGGAAAAACTTGCAAAGGTTTGCGGAGTTTAGAGAGTCGAGATTCAAGCGTTGTTTCAAGTCAAAAAGGTGTTACTTTGCTTTGCAAATTCAGTTTGCTTGGGGATAAAGTTTTTCTTCTTCGTTCAACTAGTACCGGTAACTTAATTCAAAATGCCAAAAAGCAGCTACAATATGCGAAAGGTCTGTTAACGTCGATGCTATAACAATGAGCATACTAACAATCCCTGTAAATTTCGCACGCGGAAACATGTCTAGACGCCAATTTTGCGTTGTTAATTTTCATTGTGGTAAAACAATTTCGGGCCTCTGCTGTTAATTTCAGACATAAACGAGTGCACTGATTGCTTTCCTAGCTGTCACGTCAATGCTATTTATCAAAATACTGTGGGCTCACGCACGTGTTCATGTAAAGATGGAAAACAATGTCATGGTGAGAACAGTTTCAAACAAATACAGCAAAAAAGACTGAACGCCATTTATTACTTGTTACACTGAAACTCTTTTTCCAAAATAGCGTCGGCTCAAAATTTCCCAGTTTTTCTCCCCAACTGAAGTGTTGCAAGTAAAAACAAGTTTCGATTCATAATAAATATTTTCCCATAGATAAAGAGAGCGAGGTCTGTCATCATTGGTGTTAACTTGTGTTAATGGCATGTTTACTGGGCCAAAAAATATTTGTTTCTCACCCTCCCTTGTGCTCTTCCAGACTTAAATGAATGCACTACTAACTCCCATAGTTGTGACGTCAATGCAAAGGTGGTTATGCAGACTTTAAGGAATCAGGCTGTGTACATAATGAACACTAGTTATCATCATGCACTATCAGTCCCGAAACGCCGGTTTTAATTGGTCAAGGAAACAGGACCGTTGTTAAGGACCTCAGTAAAATTTAATTTTTTAAACATGTTAATTACAGTCTATAAACCAGATTTCTAAACGATTACACTGCACTCAAATACAAATAAATTAGTATCTACTTATACTGATAACCTGAAACGTCATTTCTACTTTTAACGTTCTATACCAATGTTCACAGCTGTGATGTCAACCCCGTGTGAACCAATAGTCAATGATCATACTCCTGTGCATATAAATCTAGATATTCAAGGAAAGGTAGAACTTGTCCTCTTAGTAAGAAATCATCTATGCTTATCTCAACATGTGCCTGCTTCCTCTGAGGATGAGGAAATCTCTTTTGCTCATGTGAAAGAGACGGCCATGCTTGTCGTCTCACTGAGGGGTAAAGACATGGTAAATTTTAGTCTCAATTTGGGTGTTATGAACGAAAAGCTAATATTTTTCCCCATAAAGATATCGATTGTTAGTATAAAATGTCTCTAGTGCTCGCATTTTAAAATAGTTAGTCAATTCAGACATTTTCCAAGTCATAAACACTACAACTTAAGCCCTAACGCCTAACAGCAGAATACTTGTCATGAGTAGAGGTAAATGCAGTTCAAGATGCCCAAAGTACACCCACGACTGGAGACCGAGCCTAGACTGAGAGTGTATGGCTACAAAGAACCACCCTCACCCAACTCATCTACAAATTAAAATTCACAAGAATGCCTCACTGACTATATATGTCAAATTACTGTACGTTGTTGTTGGCTAGCGTAAAATTCTTTATAGTAACCACTTTAATTAATAAGTGATTGTGAAAAGGGATAAGCCGTGAAATGTTTACAGTGGAACCTCGATATAACGAACCTCTATCTATGAAATCCTTGGTATATAAAAAACGAATGCGAAGGTTCTTTGTCAGTCCTGAGTCAGTCCGTCATCATTAAATAGTAATTGTTAAGTACTGTTATTATTATCATTATTATTATTATTGTTGATTTGTTTGCATGTACTCGAAACAGCGTTCTATCAGAAAAAATATGAAACGGCAAACTGATCCATAACGGCAAGGCGATTAAGAGTAAAATTTAAATCGCGTTCTTCAAGTGGCCCTCGTCTTCGAATCTAAATGCCTCTAATGTAATTATAAGTGGTGGCAGTGGTAGGTTCTACTCCAGCGGAAGAAGTTCAACTCAGTTTGGAGGTTTAATGGGAAATGGCGGTGAAGGAGGCAAAGGATTTCTTCAAGAAGGAGTGGGCGGAAGAGCCTGGTATAACAATGCTGACACAGGTTTTGATGGAGGTGAGGGTCCATATGGAGCCGGAATTGATGCTGGCGGAGGGGGAGGATACTCTGAGAGAGGTTGCGGGGAGAATGTAATGAGTCCTGTGGAGGAGGGGAAGGATCTTACAATACTGCAAGGAATCAGCGAAATGAATGTTGTTACAATACAGCTGGACGTGGTCAAGTGAATATAACATTAATATGAACAACATTTTCTACTCTGACTTAATTTTTACCTAGAGCTGCTTACTATACCGTTATCTCAATTATGCATTGAGTTTAAAAACATACTTTTGATTTCTTCACAAGGTTCATTTTAATTCCATATTGAGATTTATAATAAAAAAGAGACTAGGTGTACGCTTAAATATCGCTGGAATCATGACTAAGGCCCTGTTTATCCGGGTGAAAATTGCCCTAATTACGATCTCTTCCCTGTGTACACTCGCCTACCCGAGCTACCCTGGGTAAGCCAACTCTTCCTTAAAACAACTTGGCGAACCGTTTACATGAGAAACATAACGTTGGCTCAGCTCAAAGAGTCACCCACCTTATTGGCCGGTCACCTTTTTTTATAGTAGGGTCACGCTAGTTCTGAATTTATAACTCCTGATGAACAATGTTTAAAATACACTTGACTTGTACTCGTTGATATAATTATACAAGCAGTGTTTTTAATTTGGGACCTTTTTGCAGTATACGAAGACAAAATTTATTGATGCGCAACAGCAATAATATTTTTCAATTTTCGTCCGTTAGAATAAACAAAACCAGGTGTGGCCTAGCGATACTAGGTTGGTGATTCAACTGGGAAGACTTGGTCCTTGCTAATTAAAACCAGCTAGTAAAGAGTTTTAATTTAAAACACTTGAAGTTAAGAAAATAGAGCAAGTCTTTACATGTTCTTCAACGCGTGATCAACGTTACAAAAAAAAACAAAAAATGGCATGGTCGATAACATTTTTTTCATCTGCCAAAGAGTGTCAGTCAGTCTGAAGAGGAGCTGGCGCAAACTAAGTTCTTCGTTCTTCTGTGGTAGACAATTAACTTTGATTATCAACTGTTCATAAAACTGAGAATTGTAAAGGTTGTAAGGGAGTAGTATGGCCATGTTTAACTGATAAAGAAGATACATTGAGCCAAAGAATTATCCGTAGGATTAAATATACAGGCACCAACACGTTAAATCGCGGAGTTAATTTTGTGACCTTTCGGCATTGAGCAGGTTGCAGAACAATATTGTTCTTGCAGAATGATCTAATACGGATTTCAACGTGATAAAAAACAAGTAGTCATAGCTATATTTGCGTAGTGAAAAAATAAGCAGATCACACCATGATTTCCTATACGTCTACAGTGAATTGAATAACCTGCACTAGGGAGCTGAAAGGTGAACGTTTCGAATATCTAGATTCAAAATTTGGCGTTTCTAAACCATTTACCTATTTACGTATGTATTTTTAAACGCTGCACCTAGACATATCACTGACTATATAGACAGCGGTGTTGTTAGTATGCACAGTCTCCACTCCAGCTCATTCTTGCCAACCTCGTGCAGGCCTGCCAAACCCATTTTATAATTCAATATAAAGCTAAAAGGACCTGAAATTAGAACTTCATGGCGTTTTGAGGATACCTAGAGCACCCCATAAATGAGAACCTTAAGGTCTTGACTCAGCCTCAGCTCAAAAGGTGAGGTTCCCATCAAAAAATAACAATAAACATTCAGTTATTTCGAGAAAGGTTGTCGGAAAAAATGTGCACGAGACAATCCCGAAAGGTAATATGGGATATGATCAATACACTGGTCCTAACGACTGTAGCTGTCGAACCTACTTTGGTGGCTTTCCTTTAGCGATCGCAAACATAACATCGCAAACATCCCGTATCATTCTTTCAAATTTTTTTGATCTGACCAGTGCACTCAAAACCACCCACAATAGCTGTCGGGATTGTCGCGTGCACTTTTTCCGACAACCTTTCTCGAAATAGCTGTAAACAAGTACTTTAGACACTGCATACACAATTAATGACGTCTTTCCAACTACACTTTACTTAGTAACATGCAAGCACTCCTTTAAATTAAGTAGTCGATAAGTCAACGTTAATATAAGGGTATTCTGAACACAAGAATGTCCTTCGCCTAAAAAGTAAGTCAAAAATATTTTGTTTGCATGTGCGTTCGTGATTCCAATATTTCAGTTTCAGTTTATGCCCTTCATAAACTGCGGTTTCATTTTGAGCACTTTAGTTGTTAAGCCATGTCAAACTGGTGTCACTTTAAACAAACGTTGACATGAACGTGAAAGCTTATTACCAAGAAGGCTCTAAGCTTTCTGTTTGGCACAGTAACAGAAAAAACAAACAATGAAACGTAACACTTGAGGAATCTTTGGAGGGAGGGGATACCGATGTTAGTATAAACCACTGGATTAGGAAAGAAAGGGTGTTTTTGCCTTCAATTTAGATAGCATCTTTTGGGACCTGGTGACAATCTGAAATACCTCCTCCCACAGTTTGCTTGGTTCCCTCTCACATTGTTAAGTCAGTTGCATGTCTGGACAGGTCGATAGATCCAACACGTACAAAAATGCGTGCTTTGCATCTCAAATTCACTTTTATACTGGAAGCAGAATGCTTGGAGAGCGCAATATTCTGCTGCTACTTTTTTGCTGTGTATCTTATACGGTGCTCTTTCCCCAGAGGATTGAAGGTAACTTATTGCACTTTATTACGGCAGGTCAAAATATTCCACTCCGGCACCAGCTCACCGATCAGCCCAGGAAAGATGATAAGACAATTTTTAATTAGCTCTCCTATCCTAGGTCATGACTTACTCGATTTCTTTCAAGGCGAGTTGTGAAAAGGGAACGCGGTATGATTCTAACAAACTGAACCTATTGTTGTTATTTTAAAGCTTGAACTTTTCAAAGGACAATAGAAATTAATTGGGCCTTTTTTCGAAAGAGAAACCAACAAACAGCAAGGAGTTTAGGGGGTGGGGCATATATACGAATCCTGGATTTTAATAAAGTTTGTCAATTATAGTTGCGACTCATTAAAAACCACATTTCGTTTAGAAAATTTTTATCTTTTATCTAGTGACTACTCCTTTTTTCTTTATAGCAGCTAGTTTTAAGGCCGGTAAAGTCAATATTGCTGCAGCGGGCGGAAGCTTGTTCGCTTGCAAGCAGATCTCCTTCACTCAACCTTTCCAGGGTGGAAAAGAAGTGAAAGTCTTAGCCTCATTTGGCCACGCAGCTAACAACTCAGCTCATTCTAATGGTGCTGCTATTTGGGTGGAATCGGAGGATGCAAACCAATTCCGCGCTTGCGTCTATGAATACAGCGACGGATCAAACAAAACAGCGGAATTTAATTGGGTCGCCATGCAATCTGCACCATCAGGGGCGCAGTTAGGAACAACCCTCTTGGACTCCTGGACTACTGGGACAGAATGCAAAAGGATCGACTTTCCCCAGGTTACCTTTTTGTTTTCGTTGTTGTTGTTTTTGTTTGTTTGTTTAAGACTACGAAAAAAATAGTGACGAGATAAAACCGAATGCAACAAATAACATTATTCGCCACAGCGACTGCGGACGTAAAAATTAAAGTATTAACTCTTTAAGCCCTAAGAGTGATCAGCATCAATTTTCCTTGTAATATCAATGCTTTGTAAAAACAGTGTGGTCATGAGATTGACGGACTTGATCACCCAATATGAATATAACTGATACTTCAACAAATTCTCCCCACTACTTCTATTGAAAACGTATAGGGATAACACACGAGAATTTGAATTTTGATGTTAGCGTTTAAAGGGGCTATGTCAGCTGGGGAGCATGCGCTCTGAGGTTATGCAAATTACTTTCAACTGTCAAAAATTCTATTGTTTTTAACGCGTGACTTTCTCCATGTGCGCTCTGAGGTTATGCAAATTACTTTCAACTGTCAAAATTCTATTGTTTTTAATTAACGCGTGACTTTCTTCATGTTCTCTGTCACGTCCAAGGTTCCGAATTTAGAGAGGTTAACAAGCGAAATGGGTTTGGATAAGGGATATTTCGATAGAATTTATGGAACGTTTCTTCTCTGGTTATGCCAGATCAAGAATAAAATTGTGACGACAATTTTACTTGTAGTTTTGAAGTAAAAAACGCATGCCATTCATAAAATGATAAAATAGAGCGCAAACAAAAATTCAACAACAACATATTGTCTTATTCAACAAAATAAATGGAAGTTGTATTTTACAAACGAGCTACTAAAGACGCTAGACCGAAGATAAAGACCAAGACTGCTTCAAATCATTAACAATTAGACTTGTCTGTCGCTACTGATTTTATAATTTAGATGCTGATAGAACAAGAGACCAAGTCTTTGTTTTGATCTTAGGGAAACATACATTATCGCGCAAAATTGTTCGATCGTGCCGAATCACTGCGACGTCGAGAAAAACAGAACCCAGCATCATTGGTATACTACTCCACTATAAGCAGTCCGTTGATAAAAGGGAAAGTAAACTCTGCTATTTTCCAAAATTATGCTCGAACACAAACAGTTCAAAAACATGGCATTTACAGGATCTAACTCGTACTAAGGTGCCTCTCTAAGTCCGTTGAGAACAATCTGGACGAGCAAACGGTCGTGTTTATCTTTGCCGTGAATCGAGATAAATACAAGAAGGAATCTAGCCGAATTTTAGAATGTTTCCTTCGCCAGGAGTTTAGTTTCGTCACGAAACTCATGGCCTGATGCTCTTGTAATCGTTTACAAAAAACGGCCGCCGCCAACTCGATAGCCGCTTCATTGTATGTCCACATACTTTGAGCACAAGAAAAATCCAAGAGCCAGAAGCCTCTAAAATAACTCAATAGAAAGGTTCTGTGAACTATAGGGAAGATTCCATCAAAGATTCCATCACTCATTGTGGAGTAGCCGTCATTAACTCTGCCATTACAACGGCCGCTGATAAGAGGACACAGTAAATCCACGTAAAAACATTCCACAGGCAAACAATTTTAAAATAACGCCAAAAAAATTGTTCTGTAATCACTATAGAACGATTCTTAATACAAAACTTCGCTAACTATCGAACGATGGCTGAGATTTATACAGATAAAAACAGCCTTACTCTACTGTAAGCCAGGAAAATGGGCAGCTCCAGATTTATTTACCGAAGTGGATTAAATGGTTTCATTTTATTGCTTTTGACTGCGCGATTTATTAACCCCTTACACCCTAACATCAAAATTCAAATTCTCATTTGTTATCCCTATGCGTTTTCAATTGAAGTAGTGGGGAGAATTTGTTGAAGTATCAGTTATATTCATCTTGTGTGATCATGTCCTTAATTCTCATGACCACTCTGTTTTATAAAGCATTGATATTACAAGGAGAAATTTGACGCTGATCATTCTTAGGGCTTAAAGGGTTAATCTTGCTTGAGATGTTTCGATGTACAACAATGTTATTCTGCACGCATGACGCCACGTTTATATATGGGATTCGGTCACCCCGGCCTCGGCCGTATCGGGTAAATTGGGACAGATGTCAATCCACAAAATATATTTTGTTTCTAGTTGTTTTATGACATATTTTAAAAGAACATTTATGAATATTAAGTTGACACTAGACACTGAGACCTTGAAATCTTAGCCGGATGATTGATGTTTGAATAACCCTTTCAAGACTAAAGGCTGTTGATATACTGTCTTTTATCAATTATACAAACTTCAGGATTTTGGAATTAGGAGGGTTATTAAATGTTGATCGACATTCCCGTTTTTTGTCATGTTTTCAGTGTTCAAGAGATAAATGCATAAAAAGTAAAACGTTCTTGACCATTTTTTAACTCTAAGGAATATTGTCTTTTACTGAGTGCCCCTTGGCAAATTTCGCTTAAAATTAATCTGGCAATCCCTCCGGTCCATAAACCATTTTAAGGTCAACATGAACACTATTTCCAGAAAACAAAATGTAATTTCATCTTCACAGTATTTTATTTTGTTTTGGAATAGTGTCTACTTTTGACGCTTTTCTAACATCGAAGATGGTCAACTGAAGACGGCCAAAAGTTCATGGAAGTATTATTTTAAACTTTTTCCGGTCACGTGAGCTATAAGTGTACATCATGATCAGTTCCCGTATTATTTACACCAAGTGACTTAAGAGGCTTCAATTAAACTTCCACTTAAATTTTATCAATACTTATCCATAAAAACATATTCCAATGACCTATCCCTTTGATTTAATTTACAAGCAATCACTCATAGTCATTACTACTGGTCATTCATTCATTCCTATACGTATAATCTACTTATTGTCAATTAAATATAGTAACTGTATCCTGTTGTCTTGCCATGAGCGAAGAGTTCGTATGCGCACATACGCCTGTGCGTGTAGCTGAAATCTGTTTTAGTACCTGAAAGCACTTTATCCGATAAAATCGGGATGACAGATATTTTTTTTTTGCATTATATTGGAGTCCTGTTTTAGTATTTCCTTCATCCTTATTGTTCTATCAACGGCTCATTGCAAGAAACCCTATAGTGAGAGATGAGTGACGGAGCTCTCTTGCATTTCTGCAAAGTCATAACAAGCACAAGGACGTTAATTGCTATTGATAGCGTTGTAACAGAGTTTGCCCGTCTGAAGGGTAGACGCCATCGCCCTCTGCTTGTAACCTCTTTGATTACGTCACTGTTTTACTTTTCCCGTTAACACTGTACCTTATTTTACCGATAACAGCTAGAGAGGTGCAAAAAAAAAAAAGACGAACTACTGCATTTTTCCTCCGTATTTATTTGCTGAAATGTTCCGCGGAAAACGTAGGAAATGGCGTTCCTGGGACCCTAAATTAAAAAGTTTTCTGCAGGAGCATGCCCCAGGCTCTCTTAGTTTGGAGCGCCTTCGGTACATTAACTTACCTTCCCGCGTGCACACACACCTTCAAATCTCACACCATTCCAACTACCTCGTCAGCTCGCTACTATTCCTAATTTACACGTTTGTTCTGATTTCTTCCTAGCGTTTCCAGTCCTCCAACTATACTTGTGACTCCTAGTCACCAGGTTCCAGAGCGACCTCAGGATGCCATGGCCGTGTGGGTGGAGGACTTGACCCTAAAGCAGTTTTAAAATTTGCCTCCGAGAAGTAAAGATTTTCGACGGTTTTCATCAGAACATTAAAGTTGTGAGTAAATTTGACGTGCTTGTCTATTATTGAATTCCAAGTTCTTCACTTTAAAGCAAATAAACCCCACTAAAATTTATCTTTTAAACATTAGAATGCTCTTTCTATTAGCCAGTTCCAGGCGTTAAGCGGGGAGGAGGAGTTAAATCGTACGCCCGCGCCCTACAATCTCAACGGCTATCTTTCTATAAATGGAGATGTATATAACGAGATGTAAGAGTTGGTCACCAACTAATAAAGTAAACTGTTGATTTTGACGACTGCTATAGACAGGAGAAATCTAACCACACCCACTTTTCTGTCCAGCTGACCTAGAGAGGCCTTATGGCCTGTTTACTTGTAGGTCAAGATTCTTCGTTTTGAAACGAAAAAGCTTAAAATTATAAGAGCTCAAGGCCTGGGACACTTATTTTGCAAATTCACTAGTGAAAATGATAACCCGAGGTCCTTTTTCTTATGTTCTTTTAAGCAGAACTGGATGGCATTTACCAATTTGAGGGTTCAAAATTTCACTTTGGCTGATAGTTTGGCGTTTACCAACAACAGATCGTTATCTCGATTGCAAGATAACTTCTCCCTTTGTCAGGTATATTTAACAAGTTAAAAGGTAAAATTTTTAAATTACACTGTTTTGTAACGGTCCATTTGTACTGCATTCGTTCTCTTATAATGGAATGTGTCTGGGCGTAGCTTGATATTATTATTTGTCTGTTTGTTTGTGGGTTTGCTTTTTCGTTTGTTTTCAACACCGACAGCTGCCCAAATACTACTTTTAAATAATTCATTGCTTTTCTTTACCAGAACATCACCTTCGCAGATCCGTTCTTTGCCCCTCCGGTGGTGTTAGTAACACCAAAATACATTTACAGTGGCAACAATTTGCTTTCCGGTTGTAACGCAGTCACCACCTGGGTTGAGGTAAGATTGTTGTTCCTTTACTGTATTCTTGTTAAGTGCAAAAAATGCACCGCCTGATGATAAAAAAGCATGTTACATGTCACATGTTCAAGAATTTTTCAGTAAGGTATGAAATCTTGGTGGCCCATGCCAGCTTATATAGTTTAGAATATACGAGATTAATGGAACGCAAATTGGACGATACTGGACTGATTGTTATAAGAAAAAAACGAAAATAAATCAAATATTTTATTTCATTTAAAGCATTCAACCAAAACAGATACAAAGATCTGTGTACGAAACTACGACAGGAGCAGTAACAATACCATTAAAGTTGACTTCCTGGTTATTGGAGGTATGTAAAAATCCTTGGTACAAAGAAAAGAGAATTAGAAGTGCTGTCTGTCCCCGTTTTTCAAGTTTTTAGTTCGTTTGATAAGGGCACACTGTACTTTACAGCCTGCAAGGCAGGCACGAGAAAGGAGCTGGGCCTCACGTGCGCCCCCGGGCGGCACACACCGACAAAGAATTCTCCTAGGAAAGACTCCGCGGGAATTAGAACTTAACTTGTAATCGCAGAGCCACCCAATGGAAACATGGCTGATAAATCATTATCAAAATCATGATGATGATGAAGATGATGATGATGATGACAATGATGATGGTGATGATTATCATCATTCTCGTCAAAACCCTTGATAAATTGGTTTAATCAATAATCTTTTAAAAAGAGTTACGCACCCATTTAATATATTCATTTGTCAAGCAAGGATTAAACGCTGACAGAAAGTCACACTTGGGAAAGAATTCTTTGCAAAAAAGAAGCTAAGTGCAGGATATAATTCTTTTGGTCATGGTTATATCTGGCTTCCTGTGTTGTTATGTTTGTGAGATGTAGTTAGCGTTTGTGAATGATGCACGGGATAAATTTCCCAGAAAAATCGGTGTTTCAGAACGTATATGGTCTAGAAAAATTTGTACAAAAACATAGTCGTAAAACTGTATCCTTCTTTTTGTTATTGTTGTTGTTGTTTCATCGCGTTTAGACTTATGTGATACGTGATTTTTGTACACTCTTACTAGATCTGGATCCTTGTCTGGACGTAACCTGTGACTACCACTGTCTTTGTAAGGCTTTTGGACCATACGATGCCCGCTGTGTGCACACAGAAAACTGCCCATCCTACCAAGAGCCCATATGTTCCTCCAACGGGACAACGTTTGATAACAAGTGTCTCTTTGAGCAGGAAATGTGTTTGTTGCGACTTAACTATACTGTCCAACATCCCGGTGGTTGTGAAGGTCAGCAAAATAATATGCTGCTCACTTAATTTCATATTTAGACTGTCATGAACTAGTATGTAACGTTAGTGAAGCACTTTAGAAACGCACTTTTGAAGCCATGCCTGAAAATATTGCAAAATCAAACCAACAAGATATACAATAATTATTTAGTACACAAAAACAAATTGATAGCTTTGTTATTGTCACCGCCTTTTTTCTATTCTTTTACTCCATAAATCATAAATCTACCATATTTTGTGGATTTTTGCTTTTAATTTTCTTTGCTATTTGACAGGCTTCCCATTTCAGCGCGGTCGACTTCACATGCCTCACATACCATCTTTGGGATACTCTCATTGTGAAGCTGTTCGTTTTCGACCATTTGTATTCTATCCTGACAAACCTATCCAAGTACAGATAACTGTCAACCACATCGATACCAGTGACAGAACATATGTCCACGATGCTGCTGTGTCGTGGATTGAAGATGTAAGTTACGAACAATTCACTGGGTGCGTGATGGCTGCTGGGTATAACGAGCGCAAGTCACGTGCTAATGTGTCCATTGACTGGATAGCTTATCAGGGAGCCCCAGTGGGTGGGGTTACTGGAGAGGTGCGCATGTCACAGTGGTGGACAGGAACGACTTGTGAGACCGTGAGTTTCCCTTCGGTAAGTCAGTGTATTTTTTCAAAACGCTTACCTGCTACTACTACGACGACTACGACGACTCACAGTGTCACTATCACTACCCCTACCAACTACTTCTACGTTCGTCATAGGTCTACCATGTAAGCGAATACGTGGCTTTTTTTTATAATAAATTTTCTGGGTATTTATAGTTAACGAAAAACTGTTAAATAGACCATTTCAGCTTGCATATTTTGTTTTCATCCTATTTCAGACTAGCTGATGTTACCCCATCGATCAGTCAGAGCTGTTTTTCTCTTTCAAATATCGTCCTGTCCAGACGTGAATATGTATGCATAACTTATGAAAAGTCCCTTGAGAACACCACGTGGTCTGAATTGGGAAACCAAACCACAAAAGCTAAACAAGAACGCTCTGAGTCTCACTTGCTTGTAGATAAGATAAGAAATGAGAGGACGATTAGACCGCGGGCGGTAGTCCTTGTTTCCTCGGAGCCATGCACGGCGAGCGAAAAAGTAAAATTGTGCTCTCGATCTACTGTGACTCAAAAGAAGAATAAAAGCCTGCTCGCGAATGCAGTCTAGGAGGCGATTAATCCTACACAAAACAGGATTTAAAAGTTTTTCAATTCCTACTTTATCGACGGTCGGGTATTCTTCATGATCAGAATATCTACTTTTTATATCGTTTTCGACGATTGGTTTCTGAACTGACTAGAACGCGTGGGTAAGTAAACAAAAATCAAGGAAACTTGATGAACATGGCGCGTCATTTCAAACCGTGATCGCCGAAAATAAAGCGCATGCTCATCGCAAGACCAGTTAGCCTCACCATCGAAGTAATCACTTGTTCCAAAATAATCAGTGCTTTCAAGCGATAGAATCCGTGGACTGACCCGTTGCCGGAAAAGCTCGACATCTTTCGCAGCTTTTTATTCTATGGACATGAAGTGCTGCAAGTAGAGTGCGTGACAGTCAAGTAGAAAGCTACCCGTATAAACACATCCGTGACACATACGTAACTAACGTCAGTTGCTCCCAGTAGTAGTTCAAGGTTAAATCATCAAATTATTGATATCTCAAGTATTTATAAAGTGCAACGCTACTTCACATCTTAACAACTGCGAAAATCTATCAATTAAAAATATACACCCATTGAAACTGAATCTGCAATATCGAATCCATTTAACCGTAGTCTTCCAGTAATTGCGTCAATATTCTGAGAAACGTAACGATGCACCACAAAACAGGATTTTCCCGCTAGAATATTTTCTCACATTGTACTTTATTGACGGTCGAGAATTCTTCAGAGTATTTACTTTTTAATACGCATGTATAATTGTACGAAAATCAGGGGCCTCAATTCGGGGAAAAATTACATCATTGCCAAACAGCCAAAACGTGATCAACTGAGTGTGTCATTTTCGTCATCCTCAAAAATAAACTGCATGTTCATCACAAGACTCATTTGCATATACAATGAGAGTCGTCATGATTCTTTTTCCCAGTTTCCACAGTCTTCGATAGGAACGCCTGGGACTCTGAACTACCTTTCGGAACGGACACGTGCAAAAAAAAGAAAAAAGAAAAAAAAAGAAGCGCCTGTATTTTCTGAGACTTGCTTTTCTGAAACGTCTATTGCCACATTTACATCAAGGTATTTTTCCCATAGTTTTGTAAGTAACGTCAATAAGACTATCTGTTTATGAGACAAAACTAGGATTCAGTAATGCAAGCTATTCTTTAGGCCCAAAAAGTCACCAGACCTATCGCCGCAGAATCAGATGACTGAGGCCATTTCGCCAAGAAAAATCCCTTAAAACGGTAGTTAAACGCAATCAAAGCATATGTTGATTAACCACGTTACCTGTTATTTAGATAGATACTTATACCATTCTCTAATCAGGGCAAGTTCTCCAAGGATCCTTCAGTTTTTGTTACTGCAGCACATCACCGTGCCGGACTGAAGAGAGACGCCGCCAGTATTTGGTTGGAGGACATCACGCAATCTTCTGTCAAAATATGTTTGAGAGAACTGCAAAATTACGCCGGCTCTCACGAGGACATCTATGTTGTAAGCATTTTGGATAAATTCATCACGATTTATAAATGTAAAAAGTTCTATTTTAGTCTAATGACATTTACATAGCCCTGGGGGTGGGGCCTGGAGAGCCAAGATCCCTCTCCACTTTACTCTGAGTTTTGCTCAAGGGTAAAAAAGGTAAAGAGTCCTTGTTTTACGTCGGTAGCTCAAAATAGTCATCTGACAAACAAACTTGAGGCCGACCGTGCGCTCATTTTACCCTTCCCCCTCTCTCCAGCAGTGCCCCGTTTTACGGATAATTAGAACTACTCAAAGCTACACGGAAAGGAAAGATGTCCTGTCGCAGATAAGGCCGCACAGGAACCAACGGCAGCAATCCTTTTTGCTTTAAAGGCGCGTTTTCACAAGATGCAATCAATTTTCAACTTTGGAAATGGGAAGGAAGGAGTAAGGAAGAATTCTTTTGTCGTTGTATGTAAACAAATCAAAAAGAGTGGGCTGGCATCAAAGTCTTCCTTTCATTTGTACTTTGCCTGAGTGAAATAGTGTTAAATATGTGGGCATAATCTTTAGCCTCTGACGTTACAGTTTAGCAACAGTTTCCATATAAGGGATAGTTTGACGATGACTCCCAAACAAGGAAATTCATGCAACACTTTGGCCCACTTTCACTATTTAAAATTGTTCGTCTAGTTTGGTCAATGATTGGAGCGTCAGTTTCAAACTACTTGTTACTGTGTACAGTCAAGACTCTTTCTGAGACCGATACCTTTAGGATCCGGACAATCAGTTAAGTGAGATGTCCGCCTTACAGAGTCAAATAATATGACTGAAGAAAGGCAATGACCAACTCTAGGTTTCCGCGTTTTACCAAGGTGACCGTCTTATAGGAGTGTCCTTTAAGAGAGAGTTTACTGTATTATTTTGAAATTTATCTTGTTTTAGAACTGGCTGGCGTTTTATTCACTTCACAAGCCTCTTTTTGCAGAACACGATTTTATTTATTTTGCAAACTCTGGGATTCCTCCAGCGGATCATAACAACGCTTTCTGCGAGGTCAGTTATCATTGTTTTTTTGTCTGTCCTTCCGTTTCTGTTTTACTTGTCTGGCGACTGATAAACATGAAAGACTCTTTAAAATTGTTTTTCAGGATATTCACTTTATCAAGGTGTACAATAATGCCCCGAGTGTCTTCGTGTCAGCGAACCATACATCTACTGGTGGAAATCAGGACCCCATGCACAACTCCATTACCGCTTGGGTTGAGGTAACTCAACAGGATCAAATAGGCGAATGCTACAGAAATAAATTTACAAAGGACATAACTCAAGGCAAAACGATACAAGAACTGACGTGTAACATCGCATTCCTTGCTAAGACGAGAACTTTATTTTAGCACGATAAAAAGATCAGCATTGCTGGTGGGGTCGTGCATACTAACAATTACAAGAAAAATAAGAAGTACTAAAAGCAAATGTACGATTAAAAATTAAAAACTGTTAAAAATGTTTAAAATAGGTCGTGAAAATGTACAGTTAAAAATTAAAACTGTTAAAAGTATTCGTAACCGATATCTCTGCTTTTAGTATTGGCTGAGATTCGTTCGAAATGCATTTTTTCGGTGTCAAATTTTACAAGGCGGCATCTAAATTCTTTCAAGGTTTTGGCTCTTGTTTTCTTGTTCGTTAAAGTGTTCCATGCGATTGCTCCTCTAACTGAGAGCGTATGGAGTTCCCGATAAAATTTGTTTCTGGTGTTGCAAGAATGATGTTCTCATTTCTTCTTCGGCCTGAATTCCTCTGTAAAAACAAATCTTTAACAATGATAATGCTTTGTTCTTTGCTGCTGTAATAGGGAAAGGAAGCTTAATGTTCAGTTTTATACTCGGGTTTTTTAGACCCACATTAAACCTATAAAGCCACAAAATATGTCAGGCAGCTTACTTGACTAAACTACGCCGTATTATACGAAGTCTAAAGAAATGCCGTGCATAATGGCCGCCATCTTTGATCTTTCATCCAGATTTACAATTGGTGTGGGGATAATCTTGCAAACGCATAGTTAAAACTTAATCCTAAAATTCTCAATTTGCAAACTCGTTGATAATCTGTTGCCTTAGTAGCACAACTGGATGTAAAAAAACAGACGCACTAAAAAGTTGTCTGTGAATATACCGAAATTTCGTGGTTGTAGCTTTTGAAAGTCTGAGCACGTTTGGTCGCTTTCTACTCTCTCCCTCCCGGTCTGTGGATACAGTTTAAGAAAATGCTTTGTTCATATTCGTAATTGTTGCAGCTGTTTCTGTTTGCTTTTAGTATTCTTAACTTCTTTATAACTTGCAAAATTATTAGTTTCACAAGATGCACACTTAATATTGAAGGTACCGTGACAACCGTTGTAAGAGGCGAACGCCGCAGCTTAATTATATTTATTTTAAATTAATATTAATCATATTTTTTAAACTCCATGTTTACCGCAGAGTAGTGATTTAGCGCCTTTTATTTTTTCAGTACATTAACACAACAGGCGCCCGAGTTTGTTTAAAAGAACTATACGAATCCAAGTATGACCCGCTTTCCGTATCCTACACTATATTGTCAGGTAAGAATCGGTGGGTATCAAAAGGGAGCCGTCCTGAATCTTAAGGGAAAGAAAAGTCTTTATTAAAAAGTCTAAGCCGATAGTCAAAAGATACTGACTCTCCCTCAGGTTGGGTTCAAAAAATCTAAGCCCGCCCCAAACCTTAATTATGTCAAACCGTTATGAACCTCCTTTGAGATAGCTTCTTTCCAATCAGTCACTTGATTCCATCATGGAAATCAATTTGGACAAAGGAGTTTTCAACACACTGTCGCTAGCTATCACCCATTCCTGTGGTCGTCCTTGCAGTATAAGTAGTATTGTCCTAAAATTAAGCAAGCGCACATCTGGGTAATCAAATTCTTTAAAAACTGATAAAAAATACAATGTAATCGTGCACTTACAAAAGTTGGATAATGCATCGGAAAATCGTCCAAATTTTGGCTCCCGTAATTTACTATCTTGCGATTAGCAAAATAGAGAAAAATTTGAAAATTCGTCTTTCCTTTCAATTTTGAAATTTTACAGACAGGTCCCGTCCCTATTATGAAACCACTTTGCCATGCAATGCAATTAGCTTCAGTACAGACAAAACAGACATAATTGTTTTTGGGTTAACGTACCGTGACCGCTATCCTCCTAATTAAAATTTCATCAGCTTATATACTCATATATCTTTTTTAAATATACAGTCGCATATTATGTTATGCACAGAGTGTATACAGAGGTATTTTAAGGGTTATCAACTGAAGATGGGTTGGCATGTGTGTGAAATGCAAGTATCTAGGATCGGAACTGGTTTCTAAAAAGTTTCAGTTTAGCTGTTTTCTTAAACTTCCAGATATTTGCAACCAAGGATGGAGCTACTTTGGCGGTTATTGCTACTTCACAAGTGCCGCATGCGCTTCTTGGCTGACCGCTGTATCAAATTGCTCTAACATGAGTTCAGGTCTGGTGACAGTGCACAACCAGGAGGAAAATGTCTACATTCAACACCGTCACAACGGGGACAGATCCTGGATTGGACTCAATGACCGAAGCGTGGAGGGCTCCTTTGTGTGGACAAACAAAGAAATAAGTAGTTTTAGGTTCTGGGCAGCAAGACAACCCAACAACTGGAAAAACGAAGATTGTGTCCACACCCTTGGCGCTAGGCATGGTTACACTTGGAATGATGTGCATTGTGATAACTGCTACAACTTCACTTGTTTTACAGGTACAATGTGTCCAGTAGATCCAGTTTAAGTGCTAAGGGGTGAATGTCTCAGCCCTATATATTTATCTCATACCTTTTTTTAAGCGGGGGGGGGGGGGCAGGGCGGGGATGGTCTATTTAAAAACACTACGTTAATTTATTCCTTTAGTACATTCGAAAAAATTATATGTATATTAGTCCCAAGTTCCAATCCATTATTATCTTACAAGTTAAATTAAAATCATAGCTTAGCTAGTGCAGTACACATAGGAACTTCTCATTGTTTTCCTTGTAACATAGATATAATTAATGCTAATCTATCTTTAGACTTGGACGAGTGTTTCACTATCTCCGACGCATGTGACGTCAATGCTGACTGCCAAAATACCGTGGGCTCATACATCTGTTCATGTAAACCCGGATACACTGGAGATGGTCAAATTTGCCAGGGTGAGCCTACAAGACACTCGTAACAAGACTTAAATACACTAGTCTATGCGTTCAGTAGCCCTTTGTGCTTCTCTTGCCTAGCCTTTTGTTGTAAGAAAAAAATCAGTAAATTGTTATGTTTGGCGGTTTAGAATTTCTTTCTAAATACAGCCCGTTAATTCATCATTTAATTAATAGACCTTTTTACCGATACGGCGGCCATATTGAATTAATTCGATTTAAGGAGCATTATAGGCTGCCCAGGGGGCGTGAGCACATTTCGCTTGTATTTTTGAGCGCTTTTCGGGACATTTTTTCTTAAAGTTTTCTTAGAATAAGATTGTAATGAGAGAGAACATCCTTTTGCCGTGTTTGGATGTAATAATGATCGCCTTCTTCTAGTTTAGTATGAGAAATATGGTCTTTCACTGTATATTTCTCGGGAAAAAGGCGATCATTATTACGTCCAAACACGGCACAGGGATCTTTTTTCCCATTACAATCTTATTCTAAGAAAACTTTAAGAAAAAATGTCCCGAAAAGCGCTCAAAAATACAAACGAAATGTGCTCATGCCCCCTGGGCATCCTATAATACTTCTTAAATCGAATTAATTCAATATGGCCGCCGTATCGGTAAAAAGGTCTATTAAGCACATTCAAGCTTGTTATAATAGTTAGGTATATTGGTTTAAAAATTTATTATATAGATTTACGGCTAAAAGCGCAGCTCTCGATAATATTTATAGTTTACTCAAACAAAATATAAAATCGTGTAATGCTAAGCGGCGAATTAAGGCATCATAAATGCAACGCCAGAAAGCGGTGAAACACAACAATAGGTCTAATTAGCAAAAGCAACTTTGCACGTGCAGCACACTTTTTTGTACATTTCTTTGCCGTTGTTTTGCACGACTACAACCTAAAACTTCCAGAAACTTCTTAGTTACACGCATTATGGAGGAAATGTCGTACGTGTTTCCGTTCCCTTTTTCTCTTTGCCGCTCATTTTCACCTCGCATTGGTAGCTGCTAGCATTTCTCATTTTGTCACCGCCGCTACAAAATTTTCATGTTGTTCTTCCAACAAAAAAAAATGTCTCCTTTGTTTTTATCTCTCGCTCTAAATCCCTGTCTCGTTGAGCTTCGCTGGCCTGCCGCCCACTTTCTCTTTTTCTGTGTCTTTCTCTTGCTCTATATCGCAAATTTGTGGACATGACAATTTATCTAAGCTTAATACTTTAGACAACACGGATACAGAAACAATTTCCGCTTTCCGTTTTCGTCTTTATTGGCTCTTTTGTTGACTCTGCTTTACAAGAGGCGGGTGGCTATGCGATTTCCCGCCAAAATAACCTCGAGTTGCATTGGGTTACCATACCTGTTGATTGAGTTATTTTACATTGGTATACCTGTAGCGCGGATGGACGGTTTCTCGGTGTACGGTCACGTGATTACCAAATTTTCTCGGATGGGTAGCTTACTTCATTTTCTTACCCATGGTGCTCCGCTGGCGCGCTTCGCGAGCGAGAGCTCCGCTATAAAAGTATATATAAAAATATTGAATTTTATATAGATATTTAGATGTTGCTGAATAAATATGACATATAAGTTAAAATAATTATTGTTCGTAATATCTATCTTTAGATTTGGACGAGTGTTCCACTAACTCCGACACATGTGACGTCAATGCTGATTGCCAAAATACCGTGGCCTCATACGGCTGTTCATGTAAACCTGGGTTCACTGGAAATGGTCGAATTTGCAATGGTGAGCAAGATACTCTTCACAAACCAGAAAAATTAATTAATTAGCAATTATTGAATTAGGTAATTAGGCTGAGTATCATCTGAAGATTTATGGAGGTCGAGGAGGAAGTTTTCTGCCTGGGCATCGCGTCCTCGGCGGATAACACCCTCCTTCTATGTTAAGTTCATCTTCGATAGCCGCATGTTTATCGGCAAGTTTAGGAGATAAAGGGTTATTCAGTTCTGCAAATATTCTCCAAATAGCAGGTGTCGCCCGTTGAGTTGTCTTCTTGCTGTTCTTGCTATCTTTTTGGCCAATGTTCGCCTATTGATTCCTCGTGAAACGAATGAAATGTTTCGCCATTTTGTATTTACTACCAAAAAACTCTACCTCACCGCCAGGTCTTCTCGGTTAACGGTCAATAATCTGGCAATTTTGCTGCACGATTGACGTAATCAGTTCACATATCGCAAAATTCTTACTAATTCGGTCGACAATAGCTGGTTATGATGAGTGATGGGTTATGCGTGGGATTTTAGCCAATCAGAATGGAGAAATATTTTGGATGAATAATATATATAACACTCTATATTCACTTCTTAAAGAGGAGACGAAAATACCGCTATCACAGACATTTTTTTCTTTTTTAACTTATCAGATACAGACGAGTGTTCTTCAAACTCACACAGCTGTGACATCAATGCCGTGTGTACTAACACCCCAGGATCGTACAGTTGTGCTTGCGCAGCAGGTTATTCAGGGGATGGTAGGACATGCGTCCTCACAGGTATGAACACAACTTGAACTGAACTCAGAAATGATCAAGCTGTAATGCCATTTAATCTGTGAAACGAAATCTTGCACTTTGACCAAATCAAGTCACCCAGTGTAACTGACAAACCGGGATATGCCGAAGAATAGAGCTTTCTAGGAACGCTTTTTGAAGACTGGCTCTGTCATTTTCTGCCGCTTTGTAGACCAGCAATGGTTCGAAGGTCCGTAAAGATTAGCCCCATGTAAGAGAATCCGGACTGATTTCAGAATCCGGAAAATTTTTACTTGTGGAATCCGTAATGATAGGCTTTGTAATCCGTAATAGAGCTTAACGAATCCGGAATCCAAGTTCCCCTGGCAACGAATCCGGAATCCAGATTCAAGGCTGTACTGTATTCTCTCACGTAAGGTGAAAAGATGGTAATATTTTGCCACCGAGAGGAGTGGCAAAAGTTCGTCATTCGTGTTCTCGTCTTTTACTAGCTAATGCAATTCAAGAATCTTCTTTTCAGTAGCTATTCATTTATACCTCAAGCATCTTACGACAGTCGGTCGCTTAAGTTGCAATACCGTAAACTTCCGATTATAGCTCCCCCCTACTTATTATAAGCCCCCACCCCCCAATCTCATTTATAGGCTCATCTACCTGTTAAAAAAACAAAAAAAAAATACATCCCCTCCTCCCACCCCCAGCATGTATTGAAAAGAATTCGAATTCTTACGAAGTTCGGAAACTTAAAAAAGCGATCAAATTCAAAAAGTATTTTGGACAGCACAGCTATGTAGCTTGGTTTGAAACACTTTTTTAGACCGGTTTGTTATAAGCCCGTCCCCTCCCCCGAATATAAGCCCCCTGCCCCGGTTTATAAGCCCTCCTAAAACCCCCTACGAAGTTGTTTAAGCCAGGACAGATAATCGCAAGTATACGGTATATCGCGTCACAAATAACCTGCGAACTGCAGACGTTTCTTCTTGCTAAACGTCCCTCAGCGGCGATAAGCGGGGAGAAACGTCTTCCGTTCGCAGGGGCTACGTCATAAATGGCATGAAAAGCAGTAAAATGTTTAGTTACAACGTATTTTAAGTCAGGAGCTGGTATTAAGATACTCAGTCAAAGAGTAAACAAAATCTGCATGCATATTTCTGATTTTTGACTATTACGCTTCATTATGAATAATGCCACAGTTCTACAGCAGCTCATATCCCATAGTGTAAGTGAGATAGCAAAACCCCAACTGAGGCTAAGGGGATTCTAACCGCGCAACCCCGATCGTTGTACACGGAAAAAGATGAGCTTTACTGTCATCCGGGGGTTAAGCATAGTAATTGAACGGTAACACCGGCTAAACTTGATTAAGTTCGATTACTAATAGATACACGGTTCAGTGTTTTGCCCGTCATAAGACCACCTTAAGCTTTTAGTAACTATGTCTCTCTTTGGCTGAATCCTTTCTAATCTTAATAACATCTTGATCGCGTTACAAAAGCTGCGCTTAGCTTGATCAATTTAATCAGTTCTCACCGTTCAAATTTCATGCTGTACCTATATTTGACCTCTATAATATTGTGAGACTGAACTTTCTGTACTTTAAATCCATTTGTATCATTATGAATGACGTTTTAAATAACATAGCACCCCTAAGTTTATTCACTCTCGCCACTGGCACACACCATTATGACATTAGATTTTCTCAGAAGGCTGGCACCTTTGCCATTCAAAACACAGAAGAGGATTAAGCCGTTTCCCTGCACTGGCCCTAAAATGTGGAATTGCATTCCTCTCACTATTCGTTCATAAGCAAAATGTAAACTCAAGGCGTCGATTTATCGACAGCTATTAGATATTTCATTGTCAGAGGTTGATTATACGTTAAAACACTCACTATAACCTCAAGATTTGAAGTATCCACTGTAATCTTATTTCTTTCAACATTAAATTTTCAATTTCCTTTTCTTACCTTTTTTTCCCTTCCAACCATCTGTTAACTTATAGTGCAAAATATATAAATAAATAGATGTAAATTATACATATTTTTTTTTTATCTGTGCTTGACCCCCCTCGATTAGTGTTTCTTCTATTTTGCGGGCCAGCACTACCTCCCATGTCATTTGAAAAAAAAAAAAATACCAATAAAAATTAAATGTTGTTTTAGTTGTTGTTGTGGCTCTGTGCAATGCTTATGTTGATTTATGTTGTTTTTCGGTAACCAGCATCATTCAGAGCTGTCTTTACAAACCTCGGTGCGAGTGGAAGAAAGGGGCCAACTTCTCTCGGTAGTTACTACAGTGGTCAGGATCATGACGGTCAAGTTACATTGGCCAGCGGTATTCAACAATGGACTGTGCCGTACATAGGTGACTACAGAATAGAGGCTATAGGAGCTGCAGGGGGGTACGACACATCCAGCAGTAGGGGACAATACCAAGGAAGAGCTGCTAGAATGAAAGGAACTTTTCGCTTATTCAAAGGCGAAAAAATTCAGATACTTGTTGGTCAAGAGGGTGGAATCAACAGACATAGCCAGAGCTCCGGAGGCGGTGGAGGTACTTTTGTAGTGAGAGGAAGCAACACGCCTTTAATCATAGCTGGAGGAGGTGGTGGCATAGAAAGTGCTTCCTCCAGGCATTCAGGATGCGATGCCTCTACGGGGACCACAGGAAATGCTGGGTACAAGTCATGGTCAGGAGGAAGTGGTGGACAAGGAGCAACGACCGCTGACAATGACAACTCAGGTGAGATGAGTGTGTCAAGACGAGTAGAACCACCACAACAGCAATCTTCGCTAAATCTAAAATCTAACTACATCCGCCTTCTTCAATATGGATGCTAACCTCGTGGACAGAGGTCAAAGTCCTCAACTTCGTATGCTGACCATTTATTCATATCAATTAAAACGTTCATCAAAGTATTACGTTACCTGAATCCACTCGTACTCTTAGTTCTCTTAATCAGTTTAAATCTCACGTACTTCAACGTTATTCGGCTGCTTTTCGTACAAACTATGACATCACTAACTTTAACACCTGGAAGTCGATCTGCTGCAAATGCAGTAGGTCACGTAATCTTCTATTAGCTGGTAACTGACTAAGACTTTTTAGGATTTTTATACTTTTTATAATGTTTTAATGTTTACATAGTTAGTATTTGTGTATTTTCCGTAAGGGTACACTTAATTTGAAGCCTCGCTCTGTTGTGTGTCCCGCACCTTCGTCCCTTAGTTTTTGTGTCTTGTTCAAATGTTTTTTTCCCCTAGTCTTTTTTAGCATTGAAATCATTGCGATTAAATAAATAAATAAATAAATAAATAAATAAATAAATAAATAAATAAATAAAGGAACTTCACACATCAGCCTTAATAGCTGCTTAAGACTTTTTTTCCTTGTTTCCTGCATGTTAAATTTGTTTAACTTTCAATAATTCATGAAATGAATTTATATTTGTTTTATTGTTCCTCATATAATAAGTAAGAGTAGGTTTTAATGACCTTGACCAAATCCGCTGATTGAAATTGGTGGTATGCATTTGAATTTTACAAGTAAAAAGGCATATTAGTGACACACATCGAGGCCTAAGTGATGTGATTACTTTTATCAATAGAATCTTAATTTTATTTGTTAAATGAAGCCTCAAGAAATCCACCTGCACATGTTACTTTTTGTTCCTCAGTAAAGAGTTACTGATAATAATATTATTTATATTTTAGGTGGAGGCGGTGGTGGATTTTATTCCAGTGGAAGAAGCTCAAAGAACTTCGGAGGTTCAATGGGGAATGGCGGAGAAGGAGGCAAAGGATTTCTTCAGGGAGGAGTGGGTGGAAGAGCCTGGTATTACAATGCTGTAGGCGGGTTTGGAGGGGGAGGTGGCGCTTATGGATTGGGAGGGGGTGGTGGAGGTGGAGGAGGATACTCTGGGGGAAGTAGCGGGGATAATGAGGGAGACTCCTGTGGAGGAGGGGGAGGATCCTACAATGCTGGAAAGAATCAGCAGAATGAATGCTGTTATAATACAGCTGGACATGGTCAGGTGACCATAACATTGATATAGATATTACTGCAGCTTGATTAACATTTTATGGCTTGATATATGTACCGGAATCAGTGTCGTTTAAAAACACGTATTAACGGTTGATTGTTGACCGCGCGTGAAATCTGAAATAAAATAGTGTTAAACTTGATAGTGTAGTGTTACACGCAACTGGTCTTACAAAAGGAATGAGCCGTTACCCAGAGTATCCTGATTGTATCTAACAATGAGGTCAATTTTCGCATCGTGTTTTGTTCCTACTAAATTGTCAACTGCAACTATGCGACATTTTCGTAAAAGCTCATTCAATTAACGGCTTACATCGGGCGCTTGTTTTCGCTGAGATGGGAAAGGAAGATTTGAAAACGTGAGGCTGCAGGGCTATAAAAATTTATCAAATAGTGCCAGACACAAAACGACTTAGCAATAATTAGCAATATTTTTTTTTTATTTTTGGACTTTTAAATCCACTTAGTTTCAAAGTTTGTTGTCAAAAGAACAGATTATTAGAGGGGCTATGTCACAACTATATCATGGCTTTTTTAATAGGTGCTAAAGTCATTTCTTAGTGACCTTAATCATACACAAAATGTCGTTGCAGAATTACGAAAAAGATATCCAACAAATTTCATAAGGGAGCACTAACCATAATTTTGCAGGCATTGCATTAAACCTTGAAAAGTTTGGACCCAGCTGTTTTAAATTTTCAAATGCATTTCCATTGCAAAAGGCGACAGGAAACAGTTTCAATGCCTAAATATAATCTTTTAAAAATAACATAACTAGGCCATTATTTTAGAAATTTAGTTGATGCCAGAAACGTTTTAGCTTTTAAAAAAGATGGCAAATAGCGTGACATAGCACCTCTAAAATATTCAGTGTCACGCCATTCAAAATAGATTAAAATAAAAATCAAAACCGTTTAATAGTTTGAGGCCAGACTCTGGGAAGTGAAAGGAGGTAAATATACAAAGACCCTCGCCAAGATTCGGGTCAGAAGAATATTTCGTATACGAGAATTCCGAAGAAATGTTTTACCCAAATTTACAGGAATTTGTATGGCAACGCCATGCTGGTGCCCACCTGGAAGGGCACCAACATGGTGGACGGAAACCAACAGAAACATCTCTTACCGAGTTTTGCTACAAAAGCGTGAGTTTATCCCTCGAGGAACTCATAAACATTAATTAAAAGTAAAACAAGTTTTCCTAATACATTATCCGTTTAAATGGCTAAATCCCCCGAAACAAGTCACTTTTTTAACCTAACATTACAGCTCTCTCAGCCGTCATGCAAAAGCCGCGTCACACAAAAGCTTAGAAATTTAAGCGTACTCTAACACAAAACCAAGAACCCTTTTGAAGCGGAAATTGGTATGAACATTAGTTTTCAGCTGTTCTAATACATCATGAAATCTCAGTAGGATTGATAGTTTTGTAGTTTGAATTTTAGTGACGTCATGTGAAAACCAATGATAATGATAACGTTAACAACTTCCGTCTTAACCTGCGAGCAAACTCTCCGGGGCGCTCTGGCCGCGGGGCGGGAAAAAGAGCTTTCAACTACGTCTCTGGAATTTGATTATCTGCATCGAAAATATCGATGCGAAACGCTTATGGGCGGAGATGACATTAGTAATGACGTCATTACTCTTGGCACTTGTTTTTCGATGTTTGTTTACATTCGCGCTCGTTTCCGCTTCATGCTGATTGGCAGAAATCTGACAGCTCAGTCGACGGGGAGCCACAGGGGAATTGGAGACGTAATTGCAAGCTCTCCTTCCTTTTCCCGCCTCGCCGCCAGAGCGCCCCGGAGAGCTTGCTCGCAGGCTATTTCTGTCTCCACCCAGAATTTGTTTGCTATTGGATAAATGTTTTTTTTTTCGAATGACTGTTATTGTAACGGGCTCGGAAATAAAGTTCTGTTATTGATATTGTTGTTCCTGTATTCTTCTATCAAGGCAGCTTTATACAGCAACGTTACTATCAGAATGTTTAAAACACGAATAGCAATGATCTATCATGATCACGTGCTGTGAGTGCTTTGAACAGATTCAAAAACATATCATTCAATAGCTAAATAATGCATTTTTCTCTTTAAAACGTGTTGATTGGAAAAGTTAAACAAAGGCAACAAAAATAACAGCAAATGTTGGGCAGAAATATTTTTGCATTTGCAATATGCAACTGAGGTAAACGGTTTAAGCGTCTAATCGCCTTCGCAATTAGGAAACTTCGTATTTCGTTTTAGAATATTTAAAGCTACAATAGCTCTAACCAGTCTAACTGGTCACGACGGTTTTTGTGTTCGGTTAAGGATGAGAATTTTTTTTAAAACATTTCTGGAAAATAATTTTTGTCAAATGTTCTACTTATTTTTGTTGGCATACGGAACCTCAAATAACTTACTGAACTTGATATCATAACATGGAATCACATTTCACCTGAAATAAAGAATTTGGTTTGTAGTGTCCCTGCGGTCTCGTGTTGCCTTCCTAGGTAAAGCTAATACCACACCAGCGGTCATGGCCACCGCGGAAAAAGAACATTCATGTTCTCAAGATTCCAACAACCATACAGGAAAGTTTGTTTATTCGCTCTCGATTTTCTCGTTGCTGATTTGCATTACTGCCATGGTTCGAGTCGAGATTATAAACCAAAGGATTGATGTTGTTGAAGATTTCATGGCGGAAGTCAACCAAATTGCAAAAGTACATGTCGGAAGAGATGTGACAGGTTTAAAAAACGTTCAGAGAGTCAACCTGGTCGGTGAATTTTACCGCAAGAATGGGGTAAAAGAGGAGGAATATACGTCTAAAGGTAAACTAAACCCTTTGCAATACTTTACCCCCGGGGGGACTCCCATGTGAACGGGACGTGGATGCCCATGGGAAAATTAGAATTTATCTTTTAAAGGAGATCAATCTGACTTCGCTCCTTTACGAACGTACTTGTAAAAAGAATTCGTTACTTCGATCTACCTGTAGGTAACAATCAGTTTGATGTTACTTTTTGAGTTTCTACTTCAAAAAATAAAATTGGAACGTAAGATAGTTGAGTGTAATGATCATCTGAATGATCCGTAATATTCCGGATCAATGCAAATAGTTTCACGTCCTAATTGTCTTTGCTGATGACCTTTTACGTTTCAAAGATATTTAAGCACCAAGAGCATGCAGTTTATCAAAAAAGCTGCCAAGCTTTTTTATTTATTTATTCATTTTTTACTTTAATCTATTTTTTAAACACCCGTGAGCATCACAAAGCAACGCCTGTACTCACATCTTGTTAATCGTTTTATTTCTCCGACCGGTTTCGTCTGATCACACACAGACCTCGTCAGGGGGTATAACAAGAGCAGAACTAAGGAACTAACTTTTATACACCTTCACATTGATAACGGCAAAATCCCGTTCCAGTTATGGTGTGAACAACCAAAAAGCCCACAAAATCGGGTTTGCCTAAAACCCAGAATCCTGAATAGGGCGGAAAAAACCCCGGGGAAGGTACTGCCATATATGGGCTAGGTATGTGCCGCGGTGAAGGGTATGGTTTCCAAGCAGTTTACTCTAGAATAGGGTATATAAATCAGAGCGTTTGGGTCTAAAATAGGATATCATTTTTCAGGAAACTGATCAGTTGGTTGAAGATTTTATCTAGACTAGAGATTGTGGTATAAGGTTTTGTTTTGGCTAGACTATGTTAGTGACCTTAGTAAGTTTCTGGAAAACAGCTACTCTAGGATAGGGGGGATTTGCGGAGTTTACTCTAGTATAGGGTAGCAAAATTCAGCTGAACTAGCTCTGGTATAGGTTAAGGGTTCCAGGGTCCCAGCGGCACACCCCTACACAGAAATCAGAGATCAGGAAGTAGGATATTCGGGGAATGATTACTAAAATAAATTAGCCTGTTTAAGCCCTCTATTTCCTCTTCGAAGTCCGCCGAGGGCGGGTGATAAAATATAAACCGCAGGGGATATATTGACGTACCGCCAGCGCAAGGGGGTAGTGGTGGGGGAAGAAGAAGAAAGACGTTCTTTATTTTTCTTTCTCGTGCTCCGCGCTCGTTCTCGCGAGCTCGCCGATGTTTTCGAAAAGAACGAAAAGAAAATTAAAACAACGTCTGTGTACAGGCTAAAAATAAATAAAAAAGCCTCTTTACTGGGATCAAGAGAGACCTTTTCATTATTTTCTCAGTTATGATTGCGAAATGGCCGCCACTTATTTCTTGACTTGGGATTTTGTCAACCCACTTTTCCCAGGCATGCAGTTTCAGTTCTTGAAAATCTGAAATTAATGTTTAATCCTCCGTGGCGTGATTTTTAGTTATGTATTCACTATATTTTTCCATGTTTTTCCGTCGCCGATCTTAATAAGTAACAAACAATATTCAGTCATACATGAGTATGAGAAAGGCTGAATATAAATGTGCGTAAAAAAAAATTGCAAAATCTTCCTTTCAACAAAAACAAAATGCTCCAGCAAATGAAACAAAATTGACAAGGGCAAATTAAGTTTTTAGTGACTTGAAAAAATGAAACCCATTTTCTCTAAGATTCAATTCATGTCCATCATTGCTATCCGTAGCAACAGAAGACATAAAATAGAGTTTTAACGCCAAAATATTGCTATAGTCTTCAATAACAAAAATAGACCTTTTTCATGCAAGGACGCACTTTAGCCTTTTAAGAGGGTCTGAATTGGGTTTAGTGTTTAATTAGTTTTATATGCCCATAATTTTTAGTGATTCTTGTTAAATTGGCCAATTTTTTTTTGTGTTTGCTGTTTCCGAAGAAAGTACTATTAAGTGTTTGGAGGGTTGTTCGGGCATCGTCGGCAATGGTCGGACCCAGTCTTCGTTAGTCTTCGGAAATCTTCGTCAGTCTTTGAGAATCCTCGGTAGCCTTCGGAAATCTTCTGCAATAATGCGAAATTGTCTTAACATGGCCAAAACCTCAGCTTGATATACTGAACAAAACAATATTGGCCTTTTTGAAGTCGTTTTTTGCTTTTTCTGGAAAAAATGCTGTTTCAAAGAATCTTTTACTGTTAGTATTAAAATGCCTATAAAATTTAACATGTTTCATGTTACAAAGCCAAAAAATTAAGTGTTAAGTGTTAACGGGGTACCCCCCTTCAGACCCTCAAGAGATCTTATCCTATGAAACAGTAATTGTTTAAACTGAAACTCGGCATGGAATTACATTTTTTTTGGAAAGAGTTTTGGTACCACATATGCAAAGCTTTTGAAATAAACCTTTACACTCTTTTAAAGGCTTCCGGTCTAAAAAAGACACCCTGTTTAAGTCGCTGAATTTTGAAATTGTATCTCCTGTTGAAGACACAGGAGCCTGAAAACCGTGCGTACCCTTTTTACCCACACATATCCGTCTTGGCCAACTAAATGAAAAGCTCGCTCGGGTCAATGCATCATGTCGTCACTCCCAGTACTTTGAGCGATGAACAGTATCTATAGAGAAGACAATTGCTGACGTTATAAAAACTAAATTTGTGAAATTATGGGATAGGCTGGCATATCCGGATAGATCAAGATGAAATATGTACACTTACTAAAAATCAGACCGTTAGTGCAAATTGGCGAGGAGATATAAAAAAAAACTATATAAGCACTGTTATCATAGACCTAATGTTCCGATGACTCCATATAAATCCTTCTAATAGTAGGCTCGGATCGTAACGTTACGATCCAGATCTTATTCTTTCTGGATATGCAAACATATCCCATAATTTTACAAATTTGACTTTTTGTGACGTCACACTTCTTTACTCTTCTGTGTTATTTTATTGCTAGTTCAACTTCCAAGTTTGAGGGTCCGTCGTTTTGCCAGCTCCACACCCGGAAATCAAAAGCTCACCATTGAACAGATCAGACGTGAGATAAACAAGACTTTACACTCGCTGACACCACACGCATTTTGTTCACCAAACGAAAAAATGTGCGTTCAAGGTCCACCTGGGAGGGAAGGTCCTAAGGGATCACGTGGCAAAAGAGGTCCGCGCGGAGCCACGGGAAGAAACGGTGCACGTGGTGACACAGGGCATCCTGGGCCACACGGGAAGCAAGGACCCACCGGTCCACCCGGTCAGAAAGGAGAGCCTGGTATCAAGGGGAATCCAGGTCCCAGGGGTTTTCCGGGGCCTAAGGGAGAACCTGGAGAATCAATTTCAATGCCAACGGTTGTAATCTCGCCCAAGGAATTAACTGTCAGAGAAAACCAAAATGCCGTATTCCAGTGTTCTGCGACCGGAAACCCGTCACCGACTGTAACGTGGATAGAGCCCATCGGCTCCCTTTGGTCTTATCGTGTTCAGCTTAACCCCCGTGGAGTCTTGACGGTACGTCACGTGACTCTTGCAGTCACTGGTAGATACATTTGTGCAGCAACAAATATGCTAGGTAGCTAACCAATCAGTCTCATTGACTGTTGAAGGTAAGGTATTACATTACCTTTTTACTGGTAAAATTTTTGCTTTGTGATTTTTTGATACGCGTAATTAATTCCCTCATTTGTTTTTTTCTTCATTTAAGGAACCACTGAAAAATTGTCTTCACGAAGACTTTTTTTATATGTTCCAGGGCCATCGTAGCTCAATCAAAAATATAACACAAACAGTGGTGATAAACATTGTGAACTTTCGCATGAAAAACCCGACGTTTCGTACACTTGTAGAAACAATATAGGGTTTGATCACTGTGAAATTTTAGCGTCGTCAGGTAAAATAAAGGAAACAGTGCTTATTCAAGACTTTAATAATGACAATGTATGTTGACTAACATACGAAAAGCCAAGTTGATATAAAAACGCGAAAGATCACCAATGTTTATCATCGCTTTAAATGTTTCAATTGTCTTTCATCTATCTTTGATAATTTCCCCTTTTCGAAGGGTCTTTCGTAATAGAGACTTTTTATTTAGGGGTGTAGGGAGATATAAAAGCTCCATAATGTTGAGCGAGTGTTGCCCAGCTACTATTCAGGATCTTTACATTAGGTGGATCAGTGATTCTTTCAGGAACATGTCGTTTTTATTTCTGGTCTTGACTAATTTTTTACCTACAAGCATAACTTAGAATGTTTACAGAAAGGCTCACTGTTATATACGAGGTATAGCCCCAATATAGTGTTTACTTGGCAACTAAATTTTTTGCGTAGGACCACCACGAACTCTACCACATACAATCTGAAGTTGTAAAATATGTTTCTCTTCTCACCTTTAGAAACCTGAAGCTTGGTTCGCATACCAACTGAGGCCTTGCTCTAACAGCAAGATAAAACACTTATCTTAAGCAACAATTTTGCTCAAGTATAGTAACCTGCGAAAACATCCGTTTCTCCTCGCTTTTCGCCGCTGGGGACGTTTCGCGCGGAGGAACGTCTGCGACTCAGCGACAGAAATTCCATACTGATGACGCAAATCAATGTTTACAAAAAAATAAATCCGGTAATCATGAGGTTCCAAATATAAATTTGACCAATTTTACGTGTCTTCTGGTCGGTTTTGGTAAAGTGTTGTGTTCATCTGCCAACGAGCTTCAGCAAAACTCTAATGCTTCTTCAAGAGAAGACTATATTCCACAAATATTGGGTATTTTGTTTGAGATTCTTCGCGTTTACATTTGACCTTTGTGGCCTTTTGTCTTTTGTCTGTCATTCGTAAACAATAGTTAAAACGATGTCACTACTCCGTCGACCAATCAGCACTTCTGGCCGGATTCCGGACAGATTTTACGTCATCAGTATGAAATTTCTGTCGCTGAGTCACAGACGTTCCTCCGCACAAAACGTCCCCAGCGGCGAAGAGCGAGGAGAAACGGATGTTTTCGCAGGCTACAAGTATAGAGATGCATTTGAGACTGTATCTATTTTTCAGCTCCCCTCGTGTAAGACTATCCCCAGGTCCCATTCACGCTAAAACAGGACAGAACATCAGGCTTCCTCGATGCCATGTGACAGGTTTCCGTCGCCAACTGTGACATGGACAAAGTTTACGGGTGTTTTACCAAAGAACAGGTTCACTTTGTCTAAGGAATTTATTACTTAACGCAATACAATAAGAAGTGACTCTGGTTCATATGCATGTAAAGCTACAAACCGTTTAGGAGAGGCGTCTGCAACTACGACATTAGTCGTGTTGCCACCGCCAAAGTTCATCACGAAACCCCCAAGACGTGCTGTTAAAACCGCTGGGAGAGACTTTTCGCTTGACTGTTTCGCGACTGAGCAAGCGTCAATTTCGTGGAGACGCATCGGAGGAACCTGGGAGGAAGGCCGAATGAGAGTCCAAAACAGAACCCTAACGATTCACAACCTGAAGAAATCTGATTCTGGCAATTATGTCTGCGAAGCAAATTTGTTAAGTTTCTATCGCATCGAGACAAGGACAATTTTAGATGTAAGAGGTAAGTAAGTCGATCTAACCACAATAAACCTGTGCGACGGACTATAATTCTAGGTAAACGAAAATTGCCTCAGCCGCACTAAGGAACTTAACCAAGTTATTTAACAATTAATGAATGAGGCTGAGTATCTTATGAAGAATTATGGAGATCGAGGAGGGTGTTATCCGTCGAGGCCGTAGGCCGAGGAGGATAACACCCTTCGAGATCTCCATAATTCTTCATATGATACGAAAGCCGAATGCAATAATTGTTTTATTATTCATTTAAAATAATTCCTAGTTAAAAAACAAAGCTAAAACATGCTTACCTCCATCGATATTAAGTTCACCCTCGATAGTACACGTTTAGGGTTGTTCAGCTCCGCAAATATTCTCCAAACAGAAGATGTCGCCCTTCGAGTTTTGTTCTTGCTGTTCTTGCCACGTTTGTAGCTATAATTTCGCCTAGTTCTTACTCTTGAAACGAGTGAAATGTCCGCCATTTTTTGTTTTCACAACCAAAACAACAACCTCGTCCCCAGGTCTTCGCGGCTAACAGTGCATTAACCTGCAAGAACGCTGCATTTTGACGTCATTTCCTCGTTAAACACAAATTTCTTCCAAATCTGGTCATCAGTAACTGGTTATAGTGAATTATGCGTGTGCTTTTAGCTAATCAGAATCGGGGAAATATTTTGAATGAATAATAATTCCAATTTACTAATGAAAGTTAACTCGTTTAAATAAAAATTAAAAAAAACTGTCCGTGCAGTTGGGCTTTCTACTATCTTAATCGAGTTCTAACCGGGTTATGCAAATCAAGCAAGAACAATTTTTTTTAATCCAGGTTAGGCCTTTTACAACCACCTCTTGAGGTAGTTCAGCACAGGTTAACCTTATTAATTATTCGATCATCTCCGCCTACGCTTGAGAATGGTCCAATTGGCTTTGCCATGCACGTAAAAGCACAACAGTTTCAGAAATTACTTCTTTCGCTCCAAGTTCAGCTTTTCTTTCATAACACAATTGGGTCTAGACTTTTAAGAAGTCGACCACTTTTATTATCAGTAAGACGGAGTCGGTCAAATTTTTGGGGTGTCAGTGAAACGCGGGATCGGGGTCAGGGCCGAGGTCGTGCTCTTTTTTTTTTTCAAAAAGAATGCTCTAGTTTTTAGGTAAGGGTTCTAACCAAACTCCCCTAACCGTAAAACAGCATTCTTTAAGATCAGTCAAAGAACGAAGCGAGTAGGCATATAGAAATCGAAAAGTGAAGGGATTATAAAAGTGCATACATGCAATTTGTATTTTTTCCCGCTATCAAAAAAATTGAAAGAGCATTTAGGGTCAGGTTGATATGAACGAAAGACTTTCAAAGTCAAGTACAAATAATTTCTTTAAAGGTAAAGAAATGTAGAAACTAACATTACAGTAGAGGATAGAGTGCATGGATTTTTGTTAAAAATAATTAATGAAAGCACTTTTCAAAAATTGATCGTTTCTTTAGTCGTCCAAGCAACTTCAGGTAATGTTTCGAAATCCGTGTACAATATTTGGCGATTTGCTTTATTACGCAGAATTTAGAGCTGTATTTACAAACCTCGGCGCGAGTGGAAGACTGGGTCCAACTTCTCTTGGTAGTTACTACGGTGGTCGGCATCATGACGGTCAAGTTACTTTTGGTCAGCGGTATTCAACAATGGGCTGTACCATACACGGGTGACTACAGAATAGAGGCGATAGGAGCTGCAGGGGGCACGACACATCCAGCAGTAGGGGACAATACCAAGGAAGAGCTGCTAGAATGAAAGGAACTTTTCGCTATTCAAAGGCGAAACAATTCAGATACTTGTTGGACAAGAGGGTGGAATCAACAAGCGAAGTTCAAGCTCCGGAGGCGGTGGAGGTACTTTTGTAGTGAGAGGAAGCAACACGCCTTTGATAATAGCTGGAGGAGGTGGTGGCATAGAAGGTGCTTCCTCCAGGCATTCAGGATGCGATGCCTCTACAGGGACCACAGGGGAATGCTGGGTACAAGTCATGGTCAGGAGGAAGTGGTGGACAAGGAGCAACGACCGCTGACAATGACAACTCAGGTGAGATAAGTGTCAAGACGAGTAGAACCACCACAACAACAATCTTCGCTAAAATAATAATTGATATACGTGTAAAGGCAGATAATATTAGATTAATACATTCAAACATAGAGAAATTTGAGTAGGTTTTAATGACCTTGGCCAACTGTGATGAAATTGGTGGTATGCATTTGTATTTAACAAATAAAAAGGCATATTAGTGACACACATCGAGGCCTTTGTTAAATGAAAACGGCGCTGCAAGAAATCCACCTACACATGATACCTGTTGTAAGTGAAGAGTTATTTAATGTTATTGTACTTTAGGTGGTGGCGGTGGTGGTTTCTTCTCCAGTGGAAGAAGCTCAACACAGTTCGGAGGCTCAATGGGAATGGCGGAGAAGGAGGCAAAGGATTTCTTCAGGGAGGAGTGGGTGGAAGAGCCTGGTATAACAATGCTGTTGGTGCGTTTGGAGGGGGCGGTGGCGCTTATGGAAATGGAGGAGGTGCTGGAGTTGGAGGAGGCTACTCTGGGGGAAGTAGCGGGGATAATGAGGGTGACTCCTGTGGAGGAGGGGGAGGATCTTACAATGTTGGAAAGAATCAGCAGAGTGAATGTTGTTATAAAACAGCTGGACATGGACAGGTTACCATAACACTGATATAAAGTTACAAACTGTAACTTAGCAAGTAGTGTGGTTTAACAAGTTCCCAAAATTTTAGAGCTTGGTGTACCAGTGTAGATATAGAGATTGTTGTCCATACATTGAAAACTTTATAGTCACTTTTTTGTCACTACTAAAAATAATAAAAATGAAGCCAGGCAAAGTGCAGCGCTTATAAGACCGGCAGGTACGGGACGACAAAGGACAGATATCAAAAGTAAAGACTTTTCTCATCACTGGACTGACCGTCATGCCCCTTGCTTTGAATCATATAAACTCCTTATCTTGAAA